TTTTTTTAACTATTACCTATAACTGCATTTGAGATGATTTTGTTAATTTAATAATTTTTCCGTTTATTTATGCCTAGGAGAAATAAACTTTATTCTATTTTTAACATCTTGATAATAATTTATTGCAGTTTTAAACAATTATATGTCCTATTAAAATATTCTACAGTATTCTAATAATAAACATTTATTTTTACATTTGCGGCTCACTTATTCCTAAATTATATTTCTGTCGTGATAATCATTCAACGTTATATGGAGAATTCACACATATGTAGTCCAATCGTGAGTCGTGGTATTTACCTCTGACTCTGGAGCTGGAGTGGAACAATCCAGCTCGGCTCTCGGCTCGTTCAATGTTCAGTGCTCGCTCAGTGCCGGTCACAGATTAGGTGCCGGTATGAACGATGAACGATTAGCTCCTTCGTTGCGAGTCGTTCGTTCACGGCACAAGATTATGTGCCGGCACATTCGTGCGAGTCGTTCATGAGCGACCCAGCTCTACAAACACGAAATATCTCATATCCATAGACCTTATAAACAAGGTCTACTTATGCTCATAGTTGCGAACCGATGCGAAATGAAATTCTATACTAAGAGATATTTACCAGTTGCCACCCTAATACGAAAAAAAAATCGAGACAAAAAACATATAATGACTACCATAAAGAAAATAATTTTATTGTCTTTGGTAATTGCTAACATTTCGCGTGCTAACATTAATACTCGCGCATCATGTCATTAATATACAATTTACTAATAGCTGGCATCGCGTGAGTATTAGTCACATCATATGGAACTCGTGGACATCTTGAACCGTCTAAACATAGACGTTATGGCTGTCCAGGAGACCTACCTCAGCGAGGCATCCTGTACCTCCATCCCTGACTATGACATATACAGACATGACAGAAACCGTAACGGGGGTGGTGTTGCACTCATAGTAAAGAAGTGCATCGACCACTATCCGCTGCAGCGGCTCCAAACTCAAAACACAGAGGCCGTGGCGATAGCGGTGAGATCGCTACGGCATGGAGACGTTGCGGTGGTGTCCTGTTACCACCCACCCAGACTACCACTACTTGACAATGACTTAGACAAAATCCTTTCCTGGCCCCAGACAATTGCCATCGGGGACTTCAACGCGAAGTCCCCCATATGGCACAGCGGGACGACGACCACAAGAGGTCGCGTCCTGCTGAATTACCAAGACAGACACGACGACTTGACTATACTCGGACCGACAGAACCGACACATTACGGACCCGTAGGACGCCCCGACGTTATCGACATTGCCCTCTTAAAATCTATACCGTTAAATGCCCAAATATCCACCCAATACGAAGGGTCTTCCGCCCACAATCCAATATTTCTGGATCTGGGGCGAAGACAGAGATATGAAGGCACCTTCACGAGGAGGTTCACTGACTGGGAGCGTTTCCGAACAGTAATGCAAGGAAACATGGCGCTCCCAGTCATCGAAACCACCCATGATCTGGAGGCGGCAATCCTCTCCCTTGAGACTGACATTAAAAACGCCCTGACTCAGACTACGACGGAGACTATTGTCCCCCGACTGACAAACCCCCGGGGCACCCTCCCCGATGACATAAAAAACTTAATACGTGACAGACGACGTGCGAAACGGCTTGCCACCCGCACCCGCCTCCCCCGACACAGACATGACTTAAACGTACTTAACAGACGGGTGAAGGCGGCTCTGGATGAACTGGCCCAGGATAACTGGGCTAGGCACCTGGAGTCGCTGGATCCACAAGACAACAGCCTCTGGAAAACGCAGAGGGCCCTGCGACAGACCGCTCGCCGTAAAATTCCTCCAATCCACGGTAGTGTGGGGGTGGTTTACACGAACCAGGAAAAGGCCGAGGCTTTCGCCGATAGCCTGGAACTGCAGTGTAGACTGCCTCAGCTGCCCGACGAAGACGAGGAATTCGAGATAGTGGCTGAGCGCGCGGCCCGACGCGTCGACAGAGAGCCAGACAATGACATAATCCCCCCCGCAACACCTGACGAACTAAGACTGACAATACGCAGACTTAAAAACAGAAAAGCCCCCGGACCCGACAATATACATAACACGACACTTAAACGACTACCACACAAGGGCCTCATGGCCCTACTAAACATAACAAACGCGACACTCAGACTAAGACACTTCCCTACCCGCTGGAAAACAGCAAACATAATCCTTATCCCAAAACCCAACAAAGATCACACCATCCCATCCAACTACCGGCCCATTAGCCTGCTCCCGGCTATGAGCAAAGTGGTAGAAAAAATTATCCTAACCCGTCTAAGAACCCACTCCCAAGAACTGCAAGTCATTCCAGACGAGCAGTTCGCCTTCCGACCCAATCACTCCACTGAACTCCAAATCCTTCGCCTTACCGAGCACATCACGGCGGCCTTCAACAGGGGACAGTACACTGGTGCTGTCTTCCTGGACGTCGCAAAGGCCTTCGATACGGTTTGGCATGAAGGCCTACTGATGAAAATGCTCACCAACCAATATCCCATATCCTTTACCAAACTCATAAAATCCTACCTACACCACCGAAAATTCCGCATCCAAATCCAAGATTCCCTTTCCACCACCCGTCCCATGGAGGCCGGTGTCCCCCAGGGCACCGTCCTGTCCCCACACCTATACACCATTTACAACTCCGACATCCCACATCCCCCCAACACCAACATATACTTATACGCCGACGACCTGACAATCACATCCCAATCCGTAGATCCTAGATATTCCGTCTACCTCCTCCAAAGCTCCTTAGACCAACTTGAAACCTGGTGCAACAGGTGGAAAGTCAAAATTAATCCCAACAAAAGTTCGGCTATCCTTTTTACCAAACGAAAAATCCCACAAAACCTCGACAGACTGACACTATCCCAGGAACCCATCTCCTGGAATCGACAAACACGATACCTGGGCGTGACGATGGACCAGCGTCTCACGTGGAAACCGCACATCGTGGAGACGGTGGCGCGAGCGAAGACCACCAGGGCTAGGCTCTATCCCTTACTCAAAGGTGGAAACACCCTCAGTTTAAGGAATAAGCGAACGCTTATCAAGGTGGTACTTCAACCGCAGCTAACCTACGCCTCCACGGCGTGGGGTCACGCGGCAAAAAGCCACTTAAAGTCATTACAGGCTGTGGAAAACATAGCCCTCCGCACGGCCACCGACGCGCCCTGGTACGTAAGAAACACTGACATATTACGAGACTTACAATACACAAACGCTACACAGACAATAAGACAAAACGCGGAGAAACGATTTGACGTAGCCGCTAGACATGACAATCCCCTCCTCAGGCAAGCCGTTGACTACGTACCCGACGTGACCGACAAACACAAAAGACCTAGACACCAACTTTTTGACCCTGGGTGACCACCCCAATGACCCCCCCCCTGCCCGCTAACCTTTTCTGTTTCAGAGACAGCCAGGATCAAGAAACGAAGACAACGACACACACACACACACACACACACACCCCCCATACCCTCCTTAACCCTCCCCTCCCGCGCTAGCCTAAGGGCCACCTTAGCAAAGCGCATCCCAGGCTGCATAGCCGCACTACCCTACCCAACCATACCACACATAAACATGACACTACCCCCGGGGTTTACACAGACGAGCCGGCGAAGCAAGAAGAGCGCCAGAAGAAAGGGCCCTAGCCGGCGGGGCCCAACCAGGACAAAAGGAGGTCCCACAAAGCGCCTACACCGGCCGCATTTGCGGTCGGGGTAGAGACGGATGGGGCCCACCTACGAAGGCTATCCAGGCCTACACGAAATGAGGCAGGATAAAGAGGGATAATCCCCCTCGATCCCAAATCATTAAGACCAATTTCTAGCCATGGAATAATGGCGAGTCACATCATATGGATGTGAGTAAAACAGTGAATTTCGTAAGCGAAATAATTATCTGTTACTTTCAGAAACATAATAACGGGTGCGGGTGTTATATTCAAAAAATATTTCGCATTTTCATCCGAGGTAACTATATATATAAACTGATGAAGAAAAAACAGCTTACCCACTCTCAGCATTGACAATGGAATACCCAGATTTGTTATGTGGTTTCAACATCCACAGCTGAGAGTCTTTATTTTTCCATATCCCCATTTCAAGCTTGCCGTCTGTTTCTTCCAAGACTTTGCTTGTTTTCTTGTTTTCTATCACATATTTCATATTCACTTTCTTGGACTGTTCAACAATTAACCACTGATCACTGCTTGTATTACTAAAATCACAATGTAATGTAGTATTTCTCTGTATTATAAAAACATCATTTTGTCCATCATGTGCCTCAATTAGCGTCTCACCATGAATATCCAACTTCCATGTGTTGAGCTTTACATTACCCTCTTGACAATAAATATCATTTCTGAAAAAATGTGTAGGTATAATAGACAAAAGCGATATTTTTTCTAATTAGTAACCATCGGCAACTATTGGCAGACATAGAACTGACAATATTATAGTACCTAAAACATTTTGTTAAACAACATATTTTCCAAAAACTCGGAATTAACGGAAAAAAATAACTGTTTGATTTAGCGAGGACCGGGACTACCTACACCGACAGAACATTTTATTTATTACAAATTGGAACTCATTTTCTCATATCGTAAAATGTAAAATTCACCGAAAGTGGTTACCTAATGTTTTAAAGTGACGGCGAATCATTAACATATGTTTTATATAAGTAAATTATCAGAACTATTTTACTACGATTAATATTACCACGAACTGTAACTGTTGATGTACATACATATTTAAATATAAAAAATTAATATTCAATCAGAAAATAATTTTCTGTCTAGTCAAAATATTTATAAAGGGTGAGTTTTTTTCGATGTTTAGTGTAGGGATCTGGGAAAGTAGCAGAGATACAAAAAAGTTTAAATGAGGAAAGATGTGCAGTTTTATGATCCCTATTAAATGTTACTTCTATTTTTTGAAAAAACGTCATGGCTGACTAGATATTTGGAAAAATTCGAATTCGGTCAATTCCTTCAGATGCGTGTAGCTCCGTTACTATTTATTTAACAAAAAAATTTTAAATTCCTAAGTTCCAGGTTTTTGCAGTGTTAATAAGACAGTGTGATCAAATTATTCGTGTGCACTTTCGTTTTCAAGTTATAACATAAACTTCAAGTTTTTAAATGTAAATCATAGTGTATAGTACCATAGCTATGTGCTAGCAAAAATGTATTTTTTAGGATTTCCAACGATATAATATTTGGTATGGTTATTTTGAAAAATAGGACAACTGCAGCCGTTTTTAACTATGGTTTACATTTAAAAACTTGAAGTTTATGTTATAAGTTAAAAACGAAAGTGCACACGAACAATTTGATCACATTGTCTTATTAACACTGCAAAAACCTGAAACTTTGTAATTTAAATTTTTTTTGTAAAATAAATAGCAACGTAGCTACACGCTTCTGAGAGAATTGGCCGAATTCGGATTTTTTTAAATATCTAGTCATCCATGAAAAAAATAAAAGTAACACTTAATAAGGATCGTGAAACTGCATATCTTTTCTCATTTAAGCTTTTTTATATCTCTGCTACTTTCCCAGATCCCTACACTAAACATCGAAAAAACTCACCCTGTATTTCTTTATATGTGACATATGACAGATCCTGTCCTGTGTCCATATCAGATCTTAATGCATCTTGCCCTGCTTTCATGTCATCCTTCATTGCCATCGTCATTTCCATAAGCTGTTTCATTAACTCTTTCAGTTCTGTTACTTTAGGTACCTATTCTACTCACTAGCAATCACTATCTTTTCAAAAACACAATCCTCTAAATCTGACCAACATTTGTGGCCAAAAACAATGTAGAAACGTAGCTTAAATTCTCTACCGAAATCATGCTGGCTTGTGTTTTTCTGGTAGTGTCATGAACTGCTGATCGATAAGCCAATAGGAAAAGAAGTAGATATGTGTCGGTCTCAGTCGATTCGATGTTCGTTGACCACTATTCGCAGGTAATTCTCCAGAGTCAGATTAAATTAATCAGAGGTGTTGCCGAGGTCTTTTTTTATGTCCGTTAACTGGCATACTCTTTAGAACGCATCTGATTCTCTCACAACACCGAATCTGCAAAGAGGTTTTCAACGTTACCAGGAGGTAACGATTTCCAGATTATGTTTGAGGAAATGGTGTGACGATACCTATTTATTGTTGTATTGTTATTGTAACGTTGTATTGTTTCCTCTTGCCTCGGCTTCTAGTTCTAAGTTCGTTGCTACTGGAACATCAGCACACCGGCTACACCAATCTTGTACATCTGCTCGGCTGCTTGACCAGTAGAAGCTTTCTCTAAGTTTATTCAAAGTCTTGTTTAGTGTCCTCCATCCACTCGACTAAGGATTTCTCTCGGAACTCTATGGTATTCTACCATACTCCTTGAAAATATGACCAGATTTTGTTTTTCTTTGCCATCTGCCTCTTTTATAACCCAGTTTCTAGAACGTGTGAGTCCCATATTGACCTTTTAAGGTTGCTAATTCGTTCGATATTTCTGTCTACCATCATTTTATTGGTCTTCATTAAGATTCCTAGTTTCCCATTATCCATCAGTCAGAACTGCTGTTCTCTGGGCTAAGCTTCCATATTCTTTGTTTCCAGCTCGATTGTAAATCCTTCTCTTTTGGGTACAATTGGGAACTCGTACTCTTGTCGGATAGGAGCTGCCCTTTGGCCTCTGAGGCAGATATTTTAATATAATATTTGATTGACACGCTCTACCTCGGCCAAGTGCCTTTCTATGCTTCTTGTTTTATTTTATACTGTGTTTGAAATATATTTGTTGCTTACTGGTTCCCCACTGTCCAGGTCTCTATGGATTATTTGCATTACTCTGGTGTGTACTCTGGATGCTTGTTCCACAGTGAAATTCCATAGCATATATCAAGTACTGTTGGATACGCCAAGTGAACTAAACGAGCTACGTCCGTGGCTTCATACGGTTATAAACTCTCATTTGTTCTTTGGATCCTCCTTTTTACTTGTTCTTGGTTGTACTTGGTGTAAGTGTTTGTCACCAAATGTTATTTCTAGGTCATTATAATTATGTGTTTATCTTCGCCATGAGTTTGTAAGATTTCTGAGGCCTCTCAATGACACTAAAATATAATCAAAAATTCAAAGCAAAAATTACAATAGAAAATTTAAATTATCTGAAAATAGGGCTAGGAGCACAGCTACCAAAAAATTTAAAACGTTTATACCAACCATTTTTTTTCTACTTTTGTTATTATTATGGGTATTATTTGCAATTATTGATACTATTATTCTCGGTATTATTAGTATTCTCAGGTATTACTTCGATATTAACGTCTTATTTTGAAAATAAAACTGATTTTATGTTTCGGTATTATGGTGTTCAAAATTTGGGCCCGTAAGATAATACAGTACTATAGGCTTCTACAGGGGGTGTTTCAGTTCGAGTGAATCAAACTTTAACCACAAATATTGAATCAATTTGTTATAAGCATACCAAAGATTTCATAAATAATATGATTTTAACAACCGACCAATACAGCCCTGTATATTGAAAACGGTGAGACTTTAGACCCTTGCTTTATAAGGCAATTCTGAATTATTTCTTTTGTGGTTAAAGTTTGATCCACTCGAACTGAAACACTGTATAGCCAATTTACCCTATGGAATATCCACCATTTTTCGGAGTCAGTGTAAATAACTGCTCATCCCCATTATTCCATTCTGCCATTGGAAATGTATTATTTACCCATTCCCAGACCATTCCCGTTTCCTTATTTTCTATTATATATTTCTCTTGGAGACCTGCAACATGTATGTATTTTCCTTATACAGTGTAATTTTTGTAATTAGCGTTTTAATTTGGTAATAAAAAATTTAGATAAATTTAGAATGAATACATTGAAGATGAATTTTTCGAGCGAAAACGTCTGAATCTGGTTCGGGCTGAGGCAATACACTATTGGGACTACGAAGGCTGGCAAAAAATGTAATAAAATTTCCAGAACCGTATTTAAAATAATGAAGCTGACGGTGCTAGATAGACGAAACGTTACATACAAAAACTGATTACGCCAATCGATAGAGGGGAAAAAGTGACTATGAGAAAGTGTTCTTCTTTTTCCAATATTACCTCAAACAAGGCTGAAATGAAACAAAAACGGATTTCTAAAATTTCGTTTTTTTTTCAAATATTTCGAAAACTAATGTTGGCTTTGATTTTTTAGAGGCATAGCCATGATTACGCAACTTTGCCCCCATTTAAACTAGTTTGTATCTCTTATATACTGTTTCCGAGATCACTGTGGTGAGAAGCGAATTTGTAACAGCCTGCATAAGAAAATTTAAAATAATATGTGCTTTAATGGTTTAAAGTTAAAATATATACTTTTAATTTTGACCAAAATTATGTTCCCACCAGTAATAATGTTTGTAATTAATTTGTTATAATGTCTAACTATTTAAACATTGAAATCGGTGGCGACGCTAGGGGGGGCCAGGGGTGGCCCAGGCCACCCCTAATAATTTATCGGCCACCCCTAAATTACAAAAGTAACTGTCAAAATGTTCGCCAGGGACGAAAATAAGAATATCAAATCAATGTTAGACCTATGTAAACTTTTACATAATTTTTATCCAGCTTTCGAAAATCTATTAACCTTAACAAAAATTGCTCTTACATTGCCAGTTTCTACCGCATGCTGTGAAAGATCTTTTCCGTGCTTAAAAAGAATAAAAACCTACCTTCGGACAACGATGGTTAATGATAGGTTGTCAAATATTTCTATATTAAGTATTGAAAAGGTAAAAGCCACAACACTTGACCTTGATTGCGTTGTAGATGCATTTGCTCAAAATCGTAACAGACGAATTTTGCTGATATGATAAAAATGTGTTATTTTTTATTACATACATTGTTTATTTAAGCTTAAAATTGTTTTATACTAAAGATAACTCTTTAAAAATATCAGAAATATTGTTAAATCAGAAAATTAAACCTTTTTTTATTATTAGATTAAGCAGTAATGAAAATATATATTTATCACAGTTATAGATATATATTGTATTCTTGACCACCCCTTTAAAATCATTGGCCACTCTTGTGATAAGCTGGAGTCGCCACTGATTGAAATGAAGAATAAAAATAATATTTAATATTTTTTATCACAATTTATTTATAATGAATGTTCAAAATGTCAGCTTGGTTCGGCGATAGGTAACCAGTTTATTGAACAAAGTATACGGTAAGTGAAATCATGGTCTCAGAAATACCTAGAATATATGGTTAAACCGAGGAATTTAGTGCATTCCTACACAACGCCAAAAAGCAAACGGTTGCCTAAAGTGATTCAATCTGACTGTTTTACACTAAATGTGGTAAAATGGATGGAAAACGCGTCTAGTAATAATATATTTATTTTTGTTGCTAGATTACGATAATGAGTAAAACAATTATTTTTAAAAACTGCAGCATACTGCAAGAATTAGGAGGGCGTGGCCCTCCCCTGCCCCCTGGCTACGCCTATGGTTTCTTTACTTTTGAATAGAAAAAATGTCAAAATTTTCGTTTGTTTTTTATGGCAACTATGTTTAAATTAAATAAATCATAAAAACTGCCTTTTTTGGCCTTCAATATTTTGCACCAAAGTATTATACATCAATGAACTCGAAATTTAATCTAGTGGTACCAAAATCCAATATGGCATCCATAAAAAAAGCAAAAGTTGGTTATGAAAACATAATAAGGGTCTAATAGGCCAGGAAGAAGTGACCACCGTGTATACTTTATCTCTCAAAATAATACAAGATTTTCGCAAAAATAGGGGATGACAGAAATGGGCTTGTAGTTTGATAGATATTTTTATATATTGAAACAACCTTTGATATTTTTAAGCAATTGAGAAATATATTCTGATAAATACTATTAATTAATGTTGTTGTGTTGTAATAGTTCTTCTAATGAAAGCTATGATCGCATTACAATTTCTGTTCTTTTCTTCAGCAAATTTACGAAAATTTTAGTGGTGACTGGTGAAAATTAAAGTGGTCATATTTTGATAATAAAACTTTGGACTCATACCAATTTTTTGGAGATGAGAACTTTTATGAAGAAAAAGTTTGGAAAATTTGCTTCACTATTATGAGTATCACCATTTAAATTTCCACCAGTCGCCACTGTTGAAAATAAAATTGTAAATGTTAACATCCCTCTGAGGAAAACTTCGATGATAACTTTTCTGTTCAGAAACGTTTTTAACACACATTTCCTGTACATGTGATATATCATTAGATTCAGGACAATATCAAGAATTTACACAACAAATTTAAACAGTAAAACTTTCGTTAGTGACCACCTGTATCAAGTGACCACTTACTAACGACCGATTTTTAATTATCTGAATTTCCCTTATTCTTGGACCCCCCCAATAAAGACCTTTGCAGCATACAGCAATGCTAAAACCATACAGGGTGGTCCGAATTTTATGCAGGAAACTTCTAGGGCAGATAGATCTCTTTAAAATAATATGTGTTTGCCTTATAAACATTGGTCTGGAACAGCCCCGTTTTAGAGATACAGGGTGTTGAAGTTGTTAAAAAAAATTGATATTTTGTTTATATCTCCGGAATCTATTAACCGATCTCAATAAAATTTGGTACAGATAATGTATGATAGTAGGCCTTACATTCCCTAAAATATGAGCTTTAAAAATTTAACCAGTGGTGTACAACTGGACAGGGGTCACCCTTTCTTTACAAAAAAACTACGCCACTGCATTTTCTACAAGTTATTGTAACGGATTTATATTCTAATGCACAAAATACATAAAAAAGGTAACTTGAATTTTTTCCCTAAGATTCGCCGTTTTCAAGTTATTCATCCCAATACAATCCCCTTGTGCAGACATTTCTACCCATAATATGTTTATGGTATAAAGTAAGTGCAATTTGTAAGCACATCAACAAAATTCTTTACACTTGTTTCCACACCACCTTAGTTCCTTACGCATTTTAATTTCCCCTGGAAGCCACTATCTTTACAAATAAGGACAACTTAAATCAAAATAATAATAAATGTACATTTACCAAAGGCGAAGGGTAGTGAATTTTCACAACCTGCATATTTGGTCAGAAGAAAATCCTCATGAAATTCGTACAAGATCTTTTCAACACGAATTTTCTGTGAACGTGTGGCTCGGAATAATTCGCAATAAAGTTTGTGGACCTTTCTAAACCCGTCTAAATTCCCAGTCATTTCTAAACTTTCTAGAAAACCATCTATTTGAATTATTAGAGGATGTTCCATTAAAGCTGGATACAATGGATGGTGCTCCTGCGCATTCTGGGAGAATAATATAAGAATGGCTTAATTAAAATTATTTGGGTCGATGGATAGGTAGAAGACTAAATGCCAATGTCAACCATAATTATGCAGAGGGTTCAGTGTCTTGGCCAGCCAGATTGACATATCTAAACCCCCTGGACTTCTATGTTTGGGGTTATCTGAAAAGTAAAGTTTATTCTACTCCAACAGATAGAAGACCACAACTACTGCAACGAATAGAAGACGAGTGTAATACAATTGTTGTAAATACGTAACGTTAATTTTGTTTCTTGTTTAGTTGCTGCTGCTTGGTAAATATATTTTTATTATTATTTTGACTTAAATTGTTCTTATTTGTAGAGTATTAGGCCTCCAGGGAAAACTAAAACACGCCAGGAACACTACCTCACAGGTGGTGTAAATAATTTTGTTGATGTGCTTACAAATTGCACTTACTTTTAAGCATAAGCATAAATATTCTTGTAATATTATGGGTAGAAGTGTCAGTCACAAGGCAAGTATTGGTTTGAATAACTTGAGAACGGCGAATCTTAGGGAAAAAATTAAAGTTACCTATTTTAGTATTTAGTGCATTAGAATATAAATACGTTACAATAACTTGTAAAAAATGCAGTGGCGTAGGTTTTTTTGTAAAAAAAGGGGTGACCCCTGTACAGTTGTACACCTGGTTGAACCTTTAAAGCTCATATTTTAGGGAATGTAAGGCCTACTATCAAACATTATCTGTACCAAATTTTATTTAGATCGGTTAATAGATTCCGCATATATAAACAAAAAATCAATTTTTTTTAACAACTTCAACACCCTGTATCTCTAAAACGGGGCTGTTCCAGACCAATGTTTATAAGGCAAACACATATTATTTTAAAGAGATCTATCTACCCTCGAAGTTTCCTGCATAAAATTCGGACCACCCTGTATATGTATAATAAAGTACCCTCATAAAAGTAGCTAGAACATTATTTAATGCCTCATAAAATTTATTTCTTAAGCCGAATCTGGTTTGAATTTTACAATTAGTTCTATTCTAAATTCTGTTAACGTAAATATAATCACACACATTTTGAGCATGGAAAGAAAAAGGAAGCGTCTTTCTATTAAGGAAAAAATTGATATTATTAACAACGAAATTGAAAGAACTGCTTTAAATACCAAGAAATTAGCGACATCGACTTCGAAAACATAAAGATATAGCGGTCTAGCCCGACGCACAGAAACTTTTTTTTGTGGGGTTGTGTAATCTTCATCGTACATTTTCATACCTAAATATATGTACTTACATATGTAGGTATGTATTTTTTATACATACTTCTATATTGTAGGTAATTTTGTTCTTTATTATTTTAAACTACAATGTACCTAATTATAATTTTTATTGACAAATAAACCATGTTAAACGTACACCAATAGTTATAATTTTGATATATTCTCTTTTAAACGACCACCTCTCTTTAGTGACCAACTTTTGTTACTCCTAGAGTGGCCGGAATTAGAAGGTTCTACTGTACTTATTTACATTAAAAAAAATAAAAGTGGCGATGGTTAGTAAAGGCGTACTCTGAAAATCTCATTGCATATTTGATTAGAATTTCGCGCAGTTCTATTTACAAAATTATAGAACGAATAATTTCTAATACAAGTACGTTTATTGAGATATTTATAAATTTTAAATTCATCGAATAAAACTTTCTAACTAAACATTAGAGGGGAACTTACCATATACAGAAACAATTTCTGTTAGGACTAAAAAGAAACTAACAACTTTAAACACCATTTTTTAAATATTACTTACTATTAATTACAAGCATGCTCGTTTACTTATATACATCAACAAATTTATTTTTTTACAGAGGTTGTTGATAACCTTTATATAGTTGGTAATACCAATATATATTCCAGATTGCGGCTGTGGGTTTTCCCTCTGTGCACTTAGTAAAAACAACAATTTTTTATTGTTGTCCAGTTGTCCTTTTAACCCCGCGCCAATTTAAGTTAAATTTATCAGTCATTTTGAAGAACATTTTGTATTTTACAGGGTGACCAAAAATGAAACCTCATATTCTTTGGTGAATTTTAAGGGAAGTTGTTATAGCACGGCGCTCCTAGAGCACCCGCAAACGCCGCGAGCTTTATCATTCTCTCGTCGGTATCATTTACCCTTTTTTAGCCCAGTCGGTATCTGTTTCGGAATGGATGTTTTATATAGTAACACTAATTTTTGGTGGAAATAGTTCTAAATATTATGTAAAATGATAATTGCGATATGCACCCGCTGAAAAAGTTGTGCATAATTGTTAGTGCAAGAAAATGCAAAAAAAAATCAAAAAGGCGCATTTTTCTCCCTTATTTCATGTATAACTCGGAGAATATTGACATTAGAGAAAATAGTCAAAGGAAAAAAGTTTCGTTTTGAGATTCTCTTTAAAATAAAAGTGGTCGGAAATTTTTATGTGCATTATTGTTGCTGCAATACAGTACAGACCGGACCTTGACTTTAGAACAGCTATATAAAAAGTATGGCTCTGAGTACTTCATGATATGGTAGTATTGCAGAAATTTTTTCATCGAAATCGGGCGGGTAGATTTCGTATAATTCAATGGTTAATTAAGAAAATATACAGAATTACACTTATTTTTCAATTCTCTTTCACGATATGAATGAATATTTTGAGGTCCCAATTTTTATACATACCCTTTGAAGTCTCAACTAACAATCCCCATTTAAAAATTTTCGATTTTATCCATTTTAGCAACAATTAGAATTTTTTCAACAACACCAGCAGCAGCAGGAATAGCGACAGCAATAACATGTACAACAGCACCAACAGCAATAGTAAATTTGTACAGGACATAAGCTAATACAATGCGAAACATCGCCTTAATGTTAAAAATGTTGTCACCGCCGTTCTTGGTGGTGAAAATTTGAAATATTTGGAATTATTCAAATTTCGTGGCTGAAAACATACAGAGGTATTGCATTTTTGAAACCGAGAGAGTTGCACGAAACTAAATTTGTACAGG